TGGAGGGCAGATCGAGGTTCGCCTTTCAGCGGTATGTAAAATCTTCAAAAGTAACTAAATCCTCCAATAAGGCTAACTTTGTCAAAGGATAGTCACTTGAGTGATCAGTATGTTGAAATAATCGGCCGAGTAGAGAACGCGAATACTTTGAAGATGCAAACAGGTTTGAACCTTGGAGATAAAATAGGTAAGAGGACGTGCTTCTCGATTCCTGTAGTTTTCCAAGTCTGAATGCTTCTTGTAGATATGGCAGTGGTCAATCACACTATTGAACTTATGCACACTCCAGTCATGTCTCAGTACTGGCATACAAAGCCTTGATGATGCAAAACTCTGTACATGACATTTATCATTGTGCATGTCTACTGGCGGACTGTGGCGAACATCGTTCAATATTGCATGCCTGTCTTCTTTTCTTGTTATTAGACTAGTAGCTCAGAGAAATGCTGTACTACCTAGTCAAGGTCTCTGCGTGTAGCCAATAAAATTTATACTGAACGTGGAAATTCCAGACCTAGGACGCGTTCGTGGTGATGCAATCCAATTGATGGTCGAAATTATGTATTTTGCGACCATTTTTCGTTTTATGCCGCGTCTCCTGCTAGCGACTGCGAGGGCTGTGGCAAACCGCTTCGACGGTGTTACCTGTTTGAGCCACTTCTTCGACAACACCACATGCGAGAACACTTGCTACTGTAAATGGAACCAGCGAAACCCAAAAACACAAGACGACAGAAAGAGTCTAATCGTGTCTGTTGTGACTTACTAAGGAGCGCGGTCAACTTGCTGACAGTTTCTCAGACATCTCAACCCAAAATCAGTGGATATTTCGCGAAACCCAAACCAGAAGCACCTTTCTTTCCCACTTTTAACCCAGCTATAGCAATATTTCCGAATGCAGGCGACAGCCACCTTACAACTTCGCAGTCAATGGTGGCTGACACATTGACTCCGGTTTTAGACAAAGATCAAAAGGATTCCACAGGTATTTCTGTGTTATATTTTCTATGCAGACGCGCTAAGACGCGTAGAGCGAGAGGTTATTTTCATTGAAGACTCGCCTTTGCGGCCGGCTGCTATCAGAACGCCAATCCTCATTCAAAGCTCACCAGAACGTAGTCCAACACCGGCTCACTATTCTATTCAACCCGCCAAGGAGGTCAAGAAGCCATTGCATCCTTTCTTCGCTCCCAAACTAGTTGTTCCGAAATCATCAGCTAAAGCAGTGGAATCGGACGCTTCTACGCCTACTCAGCCTACGGTAGTGCGCTATGAGAATGCTCCATGGCCATCTGCAGAAGACATTCATTGTGGTGCAACGCGACATACTCATGACTGTCCTCCCGCAGTATTTTCCCCCAGGCAAGTCAAGAGACCCTCACTATCATTGGAGAGATCGAAATCTTCTCAGAAGAGTCGCACGAGAGGAACTGGAATAGCCGACTTTGTTGATCTCAGGGAGCATGCCGAGTCTTCTATGCTTTTGCCTTTGATGGGTAAAGCTGAGGCGATAGCGGGTATCCCTAGAGAACACAGAGATCATCCGGGTTTGGAACGCCTACTAGACCAGGAATACTCCAATTGCCAGCACAATCGTCTATGGAATGACAAGTATGCACCAAAGCGAGCCGTAGAAGTACTAGAGAATACAGAGAAAGCTGTATACCTCCGGTCATGGCTGAAGGAACTCGAACTACAGTTCTCTGACCCAGTGTCTTCCCAAGCCTCAAGAGGAGTGAAACGACCACGACCGGCCATTCAGAGAGATGTCGACAGGCGAAAAAGGAGAAAACGGCGAAAGATATCGGAGGATCCGTTTGACAGCCTCGACGATTTCATTGCAGAAGACGACGATGATATCG